AGCATGGACCACCGAGGTCAGATCAGACTTCACGAGGTATGGTCGCAGGTGGTGCATGAGTTTTAGTTGTACGAAGGCCCTCCCGGCCACCGCCGACACCTGAGCATCGAGTGTCAGCGCTAAATCCAGGAGGACCCCCAAGCTGTGGACCTGCATCTTCAGGGGGAATGCGACCGCATCGAGCACAGGTTGCCAGCTTATACCCTGACCTGGAGGACCTCTGTCTTGTTGGGATTAATCTTCAGCTTGTTCACCCTCATCCAGATCGTCACAGCACCCAGGCACTGGTCCAGTATCTGAGGGGCTTCCTTGGATTTAGGTGGAAAGGAGTAGTAGAGTTGGGTGTCATCTGCGTAGAGATGGTACCGAACTCCAAAATCCACTTGCAAAGGGCCCTCATGGCCAGCCACGGGCTTTTAGAAATGCAAGCTTAGTTTCAGAACTAATGAGGTAGTTAAAATGCATCAAACTGGCAAAAAAAAAAAGAATACCCAACCCAAGCTTCAAAGGAGATAAAGCTGTAAAACAACAATAGGCATTGATCCGTTTTTCCCCTGTGAATCCACCTGAAAAGGATGCTTTGGGGAGGAGAAAAGAAGACCCAACTTTCAGGCTTTTGCGTCCTCCGCTGCAGAACTCCGGGACCTTTTTGGTATGGAAGGAGGGTTCTGCTGATTTATGGGTTTCGTGGCAAAGGAGGAAAGTGCAGGACGGGCCTTGGAGGACTGGAGATAAAGCCGAAATGCAGGGGAAAGCTGAAACACATCCCGGGCTTCTTCCTCTTATCAGATCTAACCTCCGTCTCCTACAACTTGAGAATATAAAGCACATAACTTATAGCTTAGGAAATAAGAACAACCTCCCTGGTGCCCTTCGGAAATGGAAAAGTGCAGTCATCCCTCCAAGTTGGGTGTTTTGGATTTTTTACAGATTTGGTGTTCTCTCTGGAAACGTCTATGTCCTTCAGTGTGACTCTATGGACATATGCTGGACCTAGAGATTCCCAGAGAGAGAACAAACACTTTTCTAGGAATCTTTTTTCCTTTTCATGAGGGTCTCATGGACCCCCCTCCCGGCTGGCTGTTTAGGCCCCTCACCTTTATTCAGGCGCTGTTGATGCAGGAAATGTTGCAACCCAGATCAGGGAACAAGACCATAAGGTATTAATCCACCACACTTGACTGTAGGAAAAACAATCCTTTTTTATTGATGAAAAATGGTTACAAAATAGAGGAAAATACAAAGTCCAAAAAGCCACAGTAAAATTCAGCAGTCAGAAATATCTTTGAACTAGATCAAAATTCCAAAAGCAACACTATAAGAACCTGGAACCTGTTAGCATCTCGCTAACCGTACTTGGAAACTAGAAGCCTCTGGGAATGCAGGCCATGGGAACCGGGAAATCTGCCAAGGTAATGCCTCAGTCTAAACAATGCTTGATCTAACGAGAGAGCCCGGGGAGAGACACTTAAAACTAAAGAAACTGTTTCGGGACACGCCTCCAGGCTTTGAAGCCTGTGCCTCCCTTTCCTTTAATCTGCTTGACCTTCGCAGACTCTGCGATTCACTCCTGCTTTTCCAAATCTGTCCTTTTCTATCCTCATTAAAAAAAAGGTGCTAGCTCCTCTGGAGAGCTATCACCGCTTGATTCAGAAACATTCCCATCAGGATGCGTAGTTTCACTTTCCAAGCCACTGACCTCAGACTCAACAGTTTCCAAATCATCAGGGACAAATTCATGCTCAGTAGCCTGTTCAGTTGCATCAGGAAATACAACCAGAGAATCAGGTTCAGGTTCACACGGAGGCTGAACCCCAACAGGAAAGATGCAGCCAGCACTTGATTCTAAAATGCATGGCCTGCCTTTTAACTAAAAGTCTGCAGGACGATATGCAGGTCGAGAGGCAGGCTCCGTTTAGGAAAATAGGAAGAGAGTATGTAAAATAAGAACTTTATTTTATTTCGTATCAAAAGCATTGCATCAATTAGTATAAAACTGATAAAAATAGAAGGACATTCCACAGATATATAAGCCTCATTTTCCTAGTTTCCAACAGACCTCACAATCTCTGAAGATGCCTGCCATAGATGCAGGTGAAACGCCAGGAGAGAATGCTTCTGGAACACGGCCATACAGCCCGGAAAACACGCAACAACCCAGTGATTCTGGCCATTTCGACAATACAATGTAGATCCAGTCCAAGTGCCTTTCTAAGCGTAGCAAGGGTGAGGTCTCTAAGCCACTGGCTCTGGGAGCTTCAGGAAATGTTCTGTCCATATTTTCTTTATTTGCCTTCCGGGGAAATGGAGGCAGGATGAGGCCTCTGCTCTGAGGAATCCCTTCCAGAGATGGTTCCGTTCTCTCTCTGGGCCTCAACTGTGGAGAAGGTGTCCTATTACTGTGGAGTAGACATCTTAGGATCCTAAATCGAGGAGCCACTGTTAGAAGGAGCACAGGTGGCGAAATATCCTTTCACCAAAAACGGGCAACAGCAACAGCATTGTCTGTAGCATCCAACTGTTCTTCCTCTGTACATGAGGTAGGGCATACAGGTGCAGAGTTGTCTGTTCTGCTCCACAGTCACACAAGGTGTGGGATTCTTTTAGGTCATGCTATTTTGCCAGGTTGTCTTTTGATCTGTCCACTCTGTTTCTAAGTCTGTTCAGGGACTTCCAAGTTGCCCATTCTTGCTTTGCCCCTGGAGGAAGACCCTCCTCCTTGGGGGGCCATCCCATTGGGATTTCCTGGTTGAGCTGCCCAGAGGGATACCTTGCTGTTGCTGGGGGGACACCAAGGTGGTTCTCATGAAGCTTTCCCTTGATTTGAGTCTACTGGGAGGGGGCTGGTAGCCATGCAGTGGGGGGCTTTCACAGGGTTCAACCTTATTTCTCTCACATTTAGCAGCAACTTCCCATCGCATATCAGGGGGGACAATGCCAGCTAGCTTGTAGAGTTTATCGACAGGTTTAGGTTTAAGACATCCTGTGATTATTCTGCATGTTTCGTTCAATGCTGTGTTCACCTGCTTTGCATAGGCAGAGTTATGCCAAACAGGGCAGGCATACTCAGCAGTTGAGTAAGACAAGGCCATGGTTGCCGCTGAGGCCGTTACCTACAGCTGATGAGCTCCAAAAAGAGCGAAACCTGTTAAAATAGGTCCTGTAGTATTGGCCGAGTGAGCCGTTCTTCACGATGGGCACCTCTGCTCTCAGAGGATTTCAGAGTCCCCATGTACACAGTGCATATCATAGAATCATAAGAGTTGGAAGAGACCTCCTGGGCCATCCAGTCGAACCCCATTCTGCCAAGAAGCAGGAGAATTGCATTCAAAGCACCCCCGTTAGATGGCCATCCAGCCTCTGTTTCAAAGCCTCCAAAGAAGGAGCCTCCACTGCACTCTGGGGCAGAGAGTTCCACTGCTGAACAGTTCTCACAGTTAGGAAGTTCTTCCTCATGTTCAGATGGAATTTCCTTTCCTGTAGTTGGAAGACATTGTTCCATTGCGTCCTAGTCTCCAGGGCAGCAGAGAGGAAGCTTGCTCCCTCTTCACTATGACTTCCCCTCACAACTATATACATGGCCCTCATCCTGTCTTCTCTCAGCCCTCTCTTCTGGAGGCTAAACATGCCCAGCTCTTTCAGCTGCTCCTCATAAGGCTTGTTCTCCAGACCCTTGATCCTTTGAGTCTCCCTCCTCTGGACACATTCCAGCTTAAAGTCAACATCTCCCTTCAATTACGGTGCCGAGAATTGGACACAGTGGGATTCCAGGTAACGTGGTCTGACCAAGGCAGAACAGAATAGAGAGGGAGCATGACTTCCCTGGATTTAGACACTATATGTCATGAATAACCTTTCCCACAGTGGGAAAGAATATCCCATCCTCGTCGCCAATTTGTCATGAATAACTTTTCAATAACTTTAAAGCATAGGTTCTTTTTATTGCAATTTCCAGTGTGTGAGAGCGTATCAGATTACTGAAGTTTTACACAAAGAATGATACTGGACATACAGATTCTATGCGACTACATTGGATTCATAATTACATGGCTAACATACAAAGGAAAGTCACATTTTCAGTCACCGTTCACACATATGTACATGTATCCATCCTCATGCATCCAAATTTTACCATATCCTTTTCTCCCTCCATGGAGAAGCACCTGTCAGGCCAGATCCTGAGTTCCTGCCAACGCATAGTTCCAAAACTTTCATAACTTCATAACTTCAAAACTGGATGGCTTTTGGCTTCTTTCCAACTCTAGGACTACGTCGCTTGATTCCCAAACTCTAGGCCTCTAGGTATTTTGAACTTCAGTGCCCAGAACCCATGGCTGCCTTGGGCAATGATCAGAGATTCTGGCAGGTCAGAGTTTGGAAAATTGTACAGATTTACACCAAAACAAAGGTTGACTTGGAAGTTTCTTTCAGCTTCTGGCCCTGGGTTTGGTTCTTTAAGTCTTCCTGAAGAGCTAGACATTTCCAGAAGACCTCTCTCAGAATCTCTGAAGTTCTGCAATGTGATGCTGTGTTTAGCTTCTAGGGGAGGTTGACCGGAGAGCTGTCCCGGAAGACCTAGGCACTCCTGCCCCCTCTGCTCCCAGGACTGGGGCTGAATGGTTTCCACTAGGCTTGGGCAATCCATAGTTCTAAATGGTTCTAAAGAACTTACTAAAGTTCTGGTGGTGAAAATTTCAGAACTCTAACAAAACTCTCAAAATTTCATAATAAATGGCAGTTCCTAATTGGTTCTGTCATTAAAATCACCATTAATGAAATAATAATTAAATTTTGAAAGTTTTGTTAGAGTTCTGAAATTTTCACCACCAGAACTTTAAGTACTTTAGAACCATTTAGAACCATGGATTGCCCAAGCCTAGTTTCCACAAACTGAGTGCCGCATGTTCTGCTGGAAGAGGCGAAGGGATGGGGCAACTGGGCTCAGAGGTCTCACCCCAGTACATTGACCCTGTTTGTCTCTTTCTCTGCTTTGTCCGTAGGATGATTGAGGAGAGCGGGAAGCGGAGGCGGACGATGGCCGAGAAGAGGCAGCTCTTCATGGAAATGAGTGAGTGCAATCCCTTTCCTTCCGGGAGATAGAGCGGAATATAAATAAAGATTATTATTATTATTATTATTATTATTATTATTATTATTATTATTGACACAAATGCACATTATGTCACTGCAAACGAGATCTCTATGCTGGATTTCGTATCACAAAATCACAAGTCGAACACTTCCCAAGTGTCTAGGACTGTGTGATGTGTGATGTATGATGATGATGATTATGATTATGATGATGATTATTATTATTATGCGGGAGTAGGCCCTTCATGCATCCTTTTAGAAGGATGTTGCCCAATCCTATTTCTCAGGGGAGACTTGTTCGGTATTTTTTACCTTAGCATTTAGTATGTGTACAAATACTGTATATACTCAAGTATAAGCCGACCTGAATATAAGCTGAGGCACCTAATTTTACCACAAAAAATTGGGAAAACATATTCACTCAAGTATAAGCCAAGGGTGGGAAATACAGCAGCTACTGATCAATCGTATGTATGTATGTATGTGTGTATGTATGTATGTATGTAATGTTCGTTTGTGGGAGAAACATAACTCAGAAACCACTAGATGGATTGACATGAAATTTTGACACAATACACCTAATAGTCCAACGAGTGTCCATCACCCCTAAACGCACACAAAAATAGCAGAACAAACTTTAAACCCCACCAAAATTAACCATATATACATATACATACACATACATTCATATACATATACACATGCACACATGCATACACACACACACATATATATGCAAGCACACACAGTTTATACATACATTTACACCTACACACATATATACACACATATATGCATATACACAAGCACACACATATACACAATATACATATACACATATAAACAGAGAAATACACACATATATATACACACGTATACACACACACATATATACACACATACACAAATATACACACACACATAAACACATAGACACACAAAACACATATACATAGACTGGGCCACAGCAACACGTGGCAGAGGATGGCTAGTATACACATATAAACACAGAAATACACAAATATATACACACACACACACATATATACACACACAAACACACACATATATACACACACAAACACACACACACATAAACACATATACACACACAAAACACATATACACAGACTGGGCCACAGCAACGCATGGCAGGGGACGGCTAGTTTCAAAATAAAAATAGATCCCAATAAAATGATATTAATTGAGGCATGCGTAGGTTAAATATTTTTGAATATTTACATAAAACTGTAATTTAAGATAAGAGTGTCCTAACTCTGATTAAACCATTGTTCTAATCTTCTTCAATGTAAATGTGCTTACATATCCTCCCAGTAATAATAGAGTAAAATGATAAATGTAATAATAATAATAATAATAATAGAGTAAAATAATAAATGTAATAATAACAGTAATAAATACAGAAAAATAATAAATGTAGTAAGAAATAGAGTAAAATAATAAATGTAGTAAAATAATAATGATGAGTAAAATAATGTAAATGTAATAATAATAGTAATAATAATAAATACAGTAAAATAATAAATGTAATAAAATAATAATGAGTAAAATAATGGAAATGTAATAATAATAATACTAATAATAAATAGAGTAAAATAATAAATGTACTTAGGCGATCCCTCGTTGGACGAGTAAGATGGTCTTCCATTATGGATTTCCTTGTGGGTCCGTATGTGGCTGTGGAGCTCTATTCTTGCTCTGCATCTTCTTCCGTCAGAGTCCGTACGTTCCACGTACCGAAGTTCATTTTCCTTTTTTGGCCGCAGGGTGGTGACCCCACTGGACGCGGCAGTCCAGTCAGGGATAAGTGAGGCAGACTATGTTTAGGGCACCTTTTCTAGCCCCCTCCCCATGTGGGGTGAGCAGAGTGGGTCCTCAGTAGGGCTGCTCAGTCGCGGATACAGCTGCCGAACTACTCAACTGCCTCGGACCTTGAGGTAGAACGACTGAGTCCGTACCCACCGCCCATGTGCCAGTCTGTGACTAGGGGCTTCCAGATTTCACAGTCCTGCCCCCGTCGCCACTCGCTGATCGCCATGGGACTTTGGTTGCTTGGTTTTTATTTTCTTTGGAAGACGCCTGTGCGTGGGTTTTTTTAATGTGTGGAGGTCAGTGCACAACTGATCAACACACAGACTTCACAGAGTGAGGTTCCACTGGTGATGTAGTTTAACACAATGACCGTGGCTTCTCAGTCTGTTGCAGCCTTCTTCCGCCTTCGCAGCCGTTGTAACATGTGCCATGTTATCCTCCGCCTGCTCCGCCGTTGAGGTCTTTGGGTCTTCGGACTGTGCTTGGTCTGGAACCTCCCCCGCAGCCACTCCTGGGAGTGCACGACTCCAGTTGTTGTGCCTACAGGTTCATCGGAACGCGCAAGCCCCCTCACCACGACAAGGTGACAGTCCATCGAGGGGGTATAAATGTAATAATAAATGTAATAACAACAATAATAATAGCAGAGTAAAATAATAAATAACCTTGACTTGAGTATAAGCCGAGGGGAACATTTTCAGACTAAAAAAGGACTGAAAAACCCAACTTATACTCGAGTATATATGGTAACTCTGGTTATTGGCAACGATGGAGTTTGCCTGATATGAACAGCAGACCTGTTAGCTGTCTTGTGTATAATCAGCACTGAATGTTTACGTTATATATGTTCTGTGATCCTCCCCGAGTCCCCTTCGGTGTGAGAAGGGCGGAATATAAATACTGTAAATAAAGAAAGAAAAGGCTGTTTTCCGCTCTTTTGGAAATTAGAACATGAACCAATAGATTCGTATGAGAAGAAAAGATACTCTGCCTAAACATTAAGACAAATGCGTTCCATCTCAATATAACGTTCCTCCTTGGCAAGGGCTGCACAAAACAGCTCTTTTAGACCCTTCTAACTCTGTTTCTGTGAAGCTGTAAAGCTATAGTAGCAGAATGACAAGTTTGGAAAGGTCACCTGAAAAACTAATGCAGTTCTAGGCTGCACCTATAGGAATCTCATCTTGCACTCCAAGTCAGGAAAAAGCCCTCTGACTTTGAAACACACCACACGAAGAGTGAACAAACAAATCTTCTTTTATTGAAGCTTAGTAAATAGCCAGAAGAAATAAATGCTTATAAGAAAATAAGAAAGTTCCAAAAAGTAATAAGTTCATAAAAAGTAGTAACACAAAGCAGTGCCCACACCAGATATAAAAGCAATCCAAAACTGCATTAATCCAGATAGGAATCAGCAAGATGCAAAGACAATCTAAAAGACTGAAAAAACTCCACAGAAACGAGCCCTTGAACAGGATTTCCATGCCACATGAACTTGATTTCCAAACAATGCCTGATCTAACAGGTTTCCCCTTGAGGCAAACCTTATATCCCAAAACTCAGAAATTGGTTTCACTTTCACCCACATTTCCCCCTTATCAGACGAAGTGTTTTAGAGCAACATAAACACTGAGTTTGCTGTCGATCCTGGCTAATCTATTGCCGCCTATTCTTCAGCTTGTATTAATTGTACTGTTTTATTTGCTTTATTTTGTTTTTACTGATGTGTTGTTGGGCTTGGCCTCATGTAAGCCACCCCGAGTCCGCTTGGAGAGATGGTGGCGGGGTATAAAATTATTATTATTATTATTATTATTATTATTATTATTGCTCCCTATCTGGCTCTGGCTGCTCATTAAAATTCCCAGGTGTCAGATTGTTTTCCAAACCCAAATCTTGAGAGCTCACAGAGAGAGGGAGTGAATTATCATTGCTAGGCCCAGCAAGGATATTCTCATGAGAAACTGCCCTTTGCACTGGGGCCTCTCTGTCATCGTCTGCCTGAAAATCATTGACCAAACCATCTCCATCTTGCATCTCAGTCTCAGCACCATCATTTCTCTCATGATTTCCCTCAACATTTCCCACATCAGGGTCCTAATACACAAATACATCTCATGCCTAGATAAGGGAAGTCATAGTCCCTCTCTCTTCTGCTTTGGCCAGCCTCTTCACTTGGAATAATAACCCTGCATCCAGTTCTGGGCAAAGCCATTCAAAATATATGAGTGAAATGGTTGCCCAGGGAATGACAGTTAAAGTGGTCAAAGAAATACTCTTTGAAAACGGGAGATTTTAAATGGGATTCCCCCCCCCCCCCCTTTAACTTCACAGGAGCTCAGAACTTTGACGTCATCCGGCTCTCAACATATCGAACCGCCTGCAAACTGAGATTTGTGCAAAAAAGATGTAACCGTAAGTTGAACCGTTCATATTTTGGGGTAGCAACTTACTTAAACACATGGCCCCTCCCATAAACTCACAGCCATCTTTTGCACTGTGTATACCATCTTCTGATTGGTATAAACCAAGCATGGGCAAACTTGGGCCCTTCCTCCAGGTGTTTTGGACTTCCAATTCTCACAATTCTGAACAGCTTACCTGCTGTTAGGAATTGTGGAAGTTGAAGTCCGAAACACCTGCAAGGAGGGCCCAGGTTTGCCCCTGCTTGTTGTACACAAACAGAAACCAGGGGTTTATCCCCAGTAATCAAATGCGGAATAACCTTATTAAAAATGCAAGGCCCCAATAGATTGTTCCTCCTGATGCAAGAATGAGAAATCCCAGAGAAAAGTGGGTTTGGACAGCACTTGTAGGACTTCCAGCAGATGCTGAGGATGGAGGTCACCTCTGTGTTGGAGCTCAGCCTGTGAATGTGTTTCAGGATCAGGGTGTTTTGGATGTGGGGAGTGATGCCAATGAGTTTCAAGATGGCAATGGTCTGGTCAATGATATTAATGCAGAGAATGACCAGGAGATCCCTGTTCAAAATGTACTTTCTCATGAGTTTGTCCCTAAAGGGTGTGGGGATGATGGTGTGCTCCCTGAATTGCTACCAGAGGGTTCCCAGGATTTGGGGTTTGAAAACAGCTCGGCACCTGGTCCAGCTGCAGAAATTAATGAGCAAATAGATAGACGGGAGGAGATTAGTCAAAGCAGAAAAGCTGAACAGTGGCTTGGGCGTTCTGCCAGGCTCAGAGAGAAAAAGATAAGAGATTCTCAGCTAAAGCGAGACCAATTTCTGAGCGCTTGGGATAGCTTAATGAGGGGAAAAAGTTCCAAGAACAGGAAATGTAGTCAGATGAAGCATCATTTCGAATCAAGTCAAGATCTCGTTCTTGTTTCATGGAAGCCTTGCTTGGAAGATTCATGTTTAAGTGCCTTTTGTTTCATGGTTTTGATTCTATGATTTTATATTCATGCCCTGGATTTATGTTTCCTGTTTTTTGGATTTTATTAGAGAAGCTTTGCCTTTGTTTTCATGGACTTTGCTGGACTATTACCCAGGACTACTTGTTCCTGCATATCCTTTTACCTAATTGGATCTACCTGTTTCTTTAAAGTGCTTTTTTACGTTTCTGCTTTTTAATTATCTTCAATAAAAGGATTGTTTTCCTATTCAGCGGTGTGGTGTTTAAAGTCAGAGGGTTTTTCCTGTTCTGGAGTGCAACACTCTGCCTTGTTTCTGATGGTTGGAGAGTTAGCCGAACACACGCAAGTGTTTCTATAGAAGAATCTGGTGGAATCTGGTGGAGTCTCCTCCTCTGGAGGTCTTTAAGCAGAGGCTAGATGGCTGTCTGTAAGGAGAGCTTGGATTGGGTGTTACTGCCTTTGGGGTCCCTCCTAACCCTAGTGGAATATAGATTACATAGGAGTCCAATGGAGTCTCCACCTCTGGAAGTCTTTAAGCCAGTGTTTCTCAACCTGGGGGTCGGGACCCCTGGAGGGGTCGCGAGGGGGTGTCAGAGGGGTAACCAAAGACCACCAGAAAACACAGTATTTTCTGTTGGTCATGGAGGTTCTGTGTGGGAAGTTTGGCCCAATTCAATCCTTGGTAGGGTTCGAATGCTCTTTGATTGTAGGTGAACTATAAATCCCAGCAACTACAACTCCCAAATGTCAAGGTCTATTTCCCCCAAACTCTACTAGTGTTTACATTTGGGCATACTGAGAATTCGTGCCAAGTTTGGTCCAGATCCATCATTGTTTGAGTCTACAGTTCTCTCTGGATGTAGGTGAACTACAACTCCCAAACTCAAGGTCAGTGCCCACCAAACCCTTCCAGTATTTTCTGTTGGTCATGGGAGTTCTGTGTGCCAAGTTTGGTTCAATTCCATCGTTGGTGGAGTTCAGAATGCTCTTTGATTGTAGGTGAACTATAAATCCCAGCAACTACAACTCCACAGGACAAAATCAATACCCTCCCCCAATCTGTTACTATTTGTAACAGCAGCAAAATGAGATATGAAGTAGCAACGAAACTAATTTTGTGATTGGGGGTCACCATAACATGAAGAAGCGTATTAAGGGGTCGTGGCCATCTGTCAGATGGACATTCAAGGCTTGGATGGTGTCTTCCTGGTGACGGGATGGCCTTTGGGTGTCCCTTCCAGTTCTATGATACAGGAATCTTCCTGCTGTGATGAAAGCTCCCCTGTCTTTCTTTCCCTCCCTCCCTTTCAGTTCACCTTGTGGACATCTGGAACATGATCGAAGCCTTCCGAGACAACGGCCTTAACACCTTGGACCACAACACGGAGATCAGCGTCTCCCGGCTGGAAACCATCATCTCCTCGCTCTACTTCCAGCTCAACAAGCGCCTTCCCTCCACTCACCAGATCAGCGTGGAGCAGTCCATCAGCCTTCTCCTCAACTTCATGATCGCCGCCTACGACAGGCAGGTCCCTCTGGGCCAGGGCGGGAGCCACAGGGGAGCATGGGGCGAGATTCAGACGTGGGACAACCTTGGTGGGCTGTTAGGAATTGTGGAAGTTGATCTAATGTCCCTAGGAAGGGCGTTCCATAGCCAAGGGGCCACCACTGAGAAGGCCGTGTCTCTCGTCCCCGCCAAGCATATTTGTGACGCAGACGGAGTCGAGAGTAGAGCCTCCCCAAATGATCTTAACGTCCTAGATGGTTTATAAGGGGAGATGCATTTGGAGAGGTAAATTGGGCCAGAACCGTTTAGGGCAGGGGTCCTCAAACTAAGGCCCGGGGGCCAGATGCGGCCCTCCAAGGTCATTTACCCGGCCCTCGCTCAGGGTCAACCTAAGCCTGAAATGACTTGAAAGCTCAAAACAATAACAACAACAATCCTAGGTCATCAGCCAAAAGTAGGCCCACACTTCCCATTGAAATACTAATAAGTTTACATTTGTTAAATTGTTCTTCATTTTAATTATTGTATTGTTTTGAAATGGATTTTGCACTACAAATATATGTGCAGTGTGCATAGGAATTTGTTCATATATTTTTTTCAAATTATAATCCGGCCCTCCAATAGTTTGAGGGGCTCTGACCTGGCCCTCTGTTTACAAAGTTTGAGGACCCCTGGTTTAGGGCTTTATAGGCTAAAGCCAGCACTTTGAATTGTGCGTGGTAGCAAACTGGGAGCCAGTGGAGCTGGCGCAACAGAGGAGTTGTGTGCTCCCTGAGCGTCACTCCTGTTAGCAATCTAGCTGCCATCCTTTGGACCAATTGAAGCATCTGAACAATCTTCAAAGGCAACCCCACGTAGAGTGCGTTGCAGTAGTCTATACGGGATGTAACCACAGCGTGGACTACTGTGGCCAAGTTAGACTTCCCAAGGTACGGGCGCAGCTGGCGCACAAGTTTTAACTGTTTAAAATATTATAATATAATAATAATATTTTATTTTTATCCTGCCACCATCTCCCCAAAGGCTCACAAAATCACTGTGAGTGCCGCATATAAAGCAGACAGTGCATAAGCATACACAACAGCACATCATTCTGTAAACAACGAAGACATCCTTCCTGAGGACAGTTTTGCAAAGTCTGCTTCCAAAGTCAGCGTGTTTCTTCTGGTCATCGTTCTGTCTCCTCTCTCTCTCTCCCACAGCGAGGGCCACGGGAAGCTGACCGTCTTCTCCATAAAAGCCATGTTGGCAACGATGTGCGGTGGGAAAATCCAGGACAAGTTAAGATGTGAGTATTGGGGCTCACTGCATTATGAGTCTCTCAAGGCACATCCACACTGCAGGTGGACTGCCATGGCTCAGTGCTGTGGAATCCTTGAAGCTGTAGTTTGGTGAGACCCCAAACCTCTTTGGCAGAGAAGGTCAAAGACCTTGTTGAAGAACAGTTGCCAGGATTCCATCGTATGGAGCCGTCACGGTTAAAGTGGTATCAAACTACATTCATTCTATGTGTTGTGAAAGGCTTTTGTGGCCAGAATCATTGGGTTGCTGTGAGTTTTCCAGGCTGCCTGGCCATGTTCCAGAAGCATTATTCCACAGATACATAAACGTCACTTGCCTTGTTTCCAACAGATGTCGCAACCTCTGAGGATGCCTGCCATAGATGTGGGCAAAACATCAGGAGAGAATGCTTCTGGAACATGGCCATATATTTTTAATGTTTGTTTATTTTCTGTTTTGTATTTTTATTATTTGAGTCTCCTTTTTTTAAAAAAAAAACAGGAAATGGGGTTTAGTTGTTAGTTTCATTGACGTGGGGGGAAAGTAATGGGCTGGGAACAGAATGGGGGCCATTTTTACATGGGATTCCTGGTTTTAGAGCCTGTATTTGTTTGTCCTTTTAGAGACTAGGGGAGGCCTGGTCTCTGAGGCATCCCCTATACCTTGTGGGGTTCCTCCTCAGGGGGCCATTGTCTCCCCTTTGTTGTTTAACATCTCTATGTGACCACTTGCTCAGCTGGTTCGAGGTTTTGGGCTTGAGTGTGACCAGTACGCCGATGACACTCAGCTGGTGCTGAAGATGGAAAGCCAACCGGACTCTGTACCCGATTGTTTCCATCAGTGCCTGGAGGCCGTGACTGGATGGCTGCGTGCCAGCAGGTTGAGGGTGAATCCAGCAAAGACGGAGATCCTATGGCTGGGTCAACCAGGCAGTGGGGACATCCAGCTGCCTACCCTGGATGGTGAGGCGCTACGCCCGTCCTCGTTGGTCAAGAGTCTGGGACCCTCTGCTGAGGATGGAGGCCCAGGTCTCTCTCCGCCGTGAGCAGAACCGCCTTCTTTCACCTGCGGCAGGCTAGACGTCTGGCCCCCTCCCTGTCCAGGGACGACCTCGCTACGGTGATCCAGACCACGGTCATCTCAAGACTGGACTACTGTAACGTCCTCTACATTGGCCTTCCTCTGTCGGTGATCCGGAAGCTCAAGTTGGTACAAAACGCAGCTGCTCGGCTTCTTGCGGGAATTCCGATGAGATGCCACATCACTCCAATCTTACTGCAGCTGCATTGGTTACCCATTGAGCACCAGATCACTTTCAAAGGGATGGGACGCACCTTGAAGGCCTTGCATGGTCTGGGGCCGATGTACCTGAGGGACCGCCTCACCCCCTCCCAACCCCAGAGATCCCTCTGTTCTGAGGACCAAGATCTATTGGAAGTTCCCAGTGTCAAGACCTTGCGCCTAATAGCAACCAGGCGCAGAGCCTTCACAGCAGTGGCACCATCACTCTGGAATACTCTGTCACCTGAAATCTTTGCCTTGCGGGACTTATCAGCTTTCCGCAGGGCATGTAAGACATACCTGTTTCGACAGGCCTTTGATCTCTGACTTTTTGTTTTAAATTGTTTTAAAATTGTTTTTAAATTGTGTTAGATTTTAGCCTGTTCTTGTAAGCCGCTCCGAGCCCCAGGGGAATGATAAATAAATAAATAAAATATTTTGAAATTGTATTGTCGAAGGCTTTCATGGCTGGAATCACTAGGTTCTTGTGGGTTTTTTCGGGCTATAGAGCCATGTTCTAGAGGCATTTCTCCTGACGTTTCGCCTGCATCTATGGCAAGCATCCTCAGAGGTTGAGAAGGTCTGTTGGAAGTAGGAAAAATGGGTTTATATATCTGTGGAATGGCTGGGGTGGGGCAAGGAGCTCTTCCCTGCTGCAGTTAGGTGTGAATGTTTAGCTGATCACCTTCATTAGCATTTGAAGGCCTGCCTGAGTCTGGGAAAATCTGTTGCTGGGAGGTGTTAATCTGTGCCTGGTTTTTTCCTCTCTGTTGTTTAGCTGTTATAATTTTAGAGTTTTTTAATACTGGTAGCCAGATTTTGTTCATTTTCATGGTCTCTTCCTTTCTGTTGAAATTGTCCACATGCTTGTGGATTTCAATGGCTTCTCTGTGTAGTCTGACATGGTGGTTGTTGGTGTGGTCCAGCATTTCTGTGTTCTCAAATAGTATGCTGTGTCCAGGCTGGTTCATCAGGTGCTCTGCTATGGCTGACTTCTCTGGTTGAAGTAGTCTGCAGTGCCTTTCATGTTCCTTGATGCGTGTCTGGGCGCTGCGTTTGGTGGTCCCTATGTAGACTTGTCCACAGCTGCATGGTATACGGTAGACTCCTGCAGAAGTGAGAGGATCCCTCTTGTCCTTTGCTGAACGTAGCATTTGTTGGATTTTCTTGGTGGGTTTGTAGATTGTTTGTATGTTGTTTCCTCATCAGCTTCCCTATGCGGTCAGTGGTTCCCTTGATGTATGGCAGGAACACTTTTCCTCTGGGCTGGATCTTCATCTTTACTCTCGTGGCTTGTTCTTGGTCTTGCAGCTCTTCTGATGTCTGAGGTGGAGTATCCATTGGCCTGGAGAGCCCAGTTGAGGTGGTTCAGTTCATCTTGGAGGAGGTGGGGTTCGCAGATTCTTTTTGCACGGTCTGCCAAGGCTTGAATGGGGCTTCTTTATTTTGAAATTGTGAAAATTTTACAGAAAGTAATTTTAAAATACCCTTTCCTCCCAGGTGACCTCAAAGGCGTGCCCTGCGATGCTGCATCTGCCACTAACCCGAACCTTCTTGCTTTGCTTTCTGCCCTAGATATTTTCTCTCAAATGTCCGATTCCAACGGAGTGATGATCTTCTCAAAGTTTGACCAGTTTCTGAGAGAAGTCCTGAAGCTCCCCACAGCAGTGTTTGAAGGGCCTTCCTTTGGATACACGGAAAACTCGGTGCGAACCTGTTTCCCTCAACAGGTAAGTGCGACTGGAGGCGCTGGGCATGTCTGCACTGCAGAATGAAAGCTGTTTGACCCCATTTTAACCACTTGAGTCCATGGTAGGTAATCCTGGAAAATGTAGTTTGGTTGAGACATCAGCCCTCTTTGGTGGAGAAGGCTGAAGGCCTTGTCAGAGTACTTCTCCCAGGATCCCATGGCATTGAACGATGGCAGTTCAAGCAGCATCAAACTGCATTTGTTCTGTAGTGTAGATGCACCTTTAATTCCTAATTAAATGGATTAATAATTTCATTCAAGTACATCAGTGAAGCCAAAAGGGCACAAATCCCCACTTCTGCCGGCCCTTTGTTAATTCCCAAGATGCAGGTAGATTTTCAAAAGACTGTGCCTCACAAAGTATGAAAATAAGGAGTGATGCTACCCAGAATGGCCTGGATGTCAGAACGTTCGCTGCCCTCTGCTTTCATCCCTTTTTCTTTTTGGAGAATTAATTATCATCTTTGGAAAGGCATAACCTTGTTAGAAATCATAACTTTTTGGGGAAATGATGCCATAACCTTTTGGGGAATGGCATTCATTACCATTTAGGAAAATCATGAATTTCCGTGAGAAGAGTTAAAAACTCGATTGGATCAACCTTCTCCTTAGTAGTAGATATTCACTAGCATTCGTGCAATGTATAAAGGACAGAGGGATTATTTTTGTAGCAGCCTTTGTGGGACAAACAGACAAAAAAAAAAACTTCGGGCATTTAGCTGTACCCGGCCACGCATTGCTGTGGCCCTCAGAAAACATGATTTGCAGACATGAAGCAATCTGGGCTAGGGAATTCCTCCCACCAAAGGTTTCCTGCTGGCTAATAGAAGCCAGGCTGTTAAGGTGCAAGTTGGTATGGAAAATAAAGTAATGAGAAGCAGCCACTGAAGCTGCAAGGCTTCTCAGTTATATTCATGCTGGCCAAAACACTCCAAAAAGTCTCTTTGAAACAGAGGCTGGGTGACCATCTGTTGGGGGTGGTTTGAATGTGATTTTCCTGCTTCTTTACAGAATGGGGTAGTCCTGGATGGCCCACCAGGTTTCTCCCAACTCTAGGACTCTCTGGTTCTATATTCTTCTCTTACCTTCACCAGTTTCCCCCTTCCTTCCTTCCTTCCTTCCTTCCTTCCTTCCTTCCTTCCTTCCTTCCTTCCTTCCTTCCCTGCCTCTTCCCTTCCTTTCCTCTCCCATCGCTGCCTCCTTTCCCTTCCTTCCTCTTTCTTTCCTTCTACCTTTCCTTCCATTCATAGTCTTCTCTGCTCTTCACCAATCCTTTTCTTCCTTTCTTCTCTCTTTTCCCTTTCTTTCCCCTCCTTCCTCCGGGACAGTTTTTAAGGGGTTTTTTGGGGGGGGGGGGGTGAAAGGGGGGATGTGGAGCCCAAGTGGGAGAGTTGCTGGCCTTCTCATGGTTCACATCCTCCCTTCATCCAACCGGCTCCTGCAGTCAGGCTGGGGGGGGGGGGGGGGGCGGTGCCACGCTCCTGCAGTCAGACTTGCCTTGCAATCCTCTGGTCTTAGGGGAAGAGTTGCCTGGTAGCCACGTGGGCCTCATGGAGCTGCTGCGGTGGCTCCAGCTGCTGCTGGGGCTTGCCTTGCCAAGCCCCTACCCCTCCGTTGAGCCAGGCCTTCTCCTTCCTTCCCTCTTTCCTTTCCTCAATCCCTCCCCTCCAAAGAAAAAGGACTCTGCCTTCCTGCATGGAAAGGGACTCCATGGCGAGGCTTCTCTTCCCTCACAACGGTTGGTGCTTCATTCTTCTCGCGCAATGGGGAGAGGGGCTTTTGCACATGCTCTGTAAGGCATTTTTCTTTTGGGGGAGTTTTAAGTGGTTGCCCCTTAATTTTTATGGGTTTTTTTTTTGTTTGAAAGACATAGATTGGATTAGAATGTGTTTTGCTGCCAAATTTGGTGTCAATTCGTCCAGTGGTTCAAACGAACATTGCATGCATATATATATATATATATATATATATATATATCTGAAGTCCAAGATTTCTTGCCAAATTATTTCCACCTAAACCTTAGGACGAAATTCCTGAGGGCACAAATGCTTTGACCAAGGAATAGAAATGTGTGGGCTCTTCCTCTTCGTGCTTATTTGTTTGGACCTTTGGGATTCTTCCCAGATCAGCGGGGTCTATGGTTTCAAAGACCCCCCAGTATGGTGGCCAGGAACGTGGACTTTCCCTCTTCTGCAGTTATTATTACCTAACTAGATGCAGAGGCTTCCTTACTGGACGGTTGGGATAATCTGCCCAAGTCAAGATCTGTGTCAAATAAGTGTTACGAAGCCCAATCCAATCAGAATCAATTATCTTTAAGCCGAGTGGATTTCAGTGGAGAGGTTTCGGCATTTGCTTTGCTCAAAAAGGAGTTGCAAGGAGGCCGGTTGCTTTGCTGCGTGTTCAGAATGAGTTCCCTTACGTGAGGTGCCTTTTCTCTCTCTCTGAGTCTTTTCTTTGTTCTTCTCTGCAGAAAAAGGTGATGCTCAACATGTTTTTAGACACGTTAATGGCTGACCCGCCGCCCCAGTGCCTTGTGTGGCTACCTCTCATGCACAGACTTTCCCATGTAGAAAACGGTAAGTGGGAGGAGGAAGACCACCTCACTCCATTCCTCTTTGTGTGCCTTTGCTTTTCCTTCTGCTAAAGAAGCTGGATTTTCAGTTGAGAGTGTGGCTCAACCAGGCCTGTTGGAAAAGTGGGGTGTGGGTCACTGAAACACCCACTACATATGACCTTAAGTGTCCCTTCAGGGCCTCTTCATGTGAGAGAAGAGCCCTGAGGCTCAGCAGGAGGTTTTCACTCTGAGAAATATTAAAAAAATAATTAGTTATTGATCAGTCCCAAAGCTAGCTCCAGAAACACCCAGCTGCAACCTATCTCTTGTATACCTCCACCCTTAATTGCTTTCACCCATGAACTCTTACTTACAGATTACTCAACCCTTTAGAACTAAGACTTACATTAACCTTTCCACCACCAACTGCTAGGCCTGCCACCACCAACAACTACAGAACATAATATATGACAAGGATCAGATCTCTGTTCTTCCCATACTGCAGAACCTGACTCCCTGCACAAAATCTAAGACTCCAAAAGCACACTTCTTCCTCTTCCCTTGAGAAAGAAGCCCCAAAGTGACCAGACTGCTCCCGTGCAGATCTGCCACTTATCCATAGGTACACTATCTCTCTCCTTCCCATGGAGCAGAGCATAGTGGGTGGACAGACTCCTCAGGTCTGCCACACTTTGAGCATTATTAGACTGAGTCTTTTATAGGAATATTCTGTTGATATAGTCCCAAAGTTGTAAATTAATGATAGACGTCTTCCATCCTGGCTCCATCTCAGTTTCCTGGCCAGATGTTGATCTTCTTGATTGGTGTTGAACTTATGTTGACTTCCTTCTTATTTATTATTTATTTATTTATTTATTTGCTGCATTTGTTAACCGCCGCTCTCAGCCCTAGGGCGACTCGCGGCGGTGTACAACATATTAAAAACAGTTTACAATCAAGCCACACGAAAAAAGATCAACATATCAAATACACATTAATCTAAATTAATCTAAACTTACACTAACTAATCCGCTCCGTCACATCAGAATCATAACCAATCTCATAATCCATTTTCCGTTCCGATTGTCATCTCCAATTAATATAACATTCAATTAAATGCCTTCTCAAATAGCCAGGTCTTTAGGCTCTTACGGAAAGCCATAAGGGAGGGCGCCTGTCTGATGTCAACAGGGAGGGTGTTCCACAGCCGGGGGGCCACCACCGAGAAGGCCCTCTCCCTCGTCCCCGCCAGACGTGCCTGTGAGGCAGGCGGGATCGAGAGAAGGGCCTCCCCAGATGATCTCAAGGCCCTCGTGGGCTCATAGGCCAAGATGCGGTCCGAAAGGTATTTTGGGCCGGAACCGTTTAGGGCTTTGTAGGATAACACCAGCACCTTAAATTGGGCCCGGTAGCAAGTCGGCAGCCAATGGAGCTGGAACAACAAGGGCATTGTGTGCTCCCTGCGTCCCGCTCCCGTTAGTAACATGGCTGCCGCGCGCTGGACTAGCTGAAGCTTCCGGGCCGTCTTCAAGGGCAGCCCCACATAGAGAGCGTTGCAGTAGTCAAGACGGGATGTGACCAGAGCATGTACCACCGTGGCCAAGTCAGACTTCCCAAGGTACGGGCGCAGCTGGCGCACGAGCCTAAGCTGTGCAAATGCTCCCCTGGTCACCGCTGAAACCTGGGGATCCAGGCTCAACGATGAATCCAGGATCACACCCAAGCTGCGAACCTGCGCCTTCAAGGGGAGTGCGACCCCATCCAGCACAGGCTGTAACCCTATACCCTGTTCGGCCTTGCGACTGACCAGGAGTACCTCTGTCTTGTCTGGATTTAATTTCAATTTGTTCACCCTCATCCAGACCATTACAGCGGCCAGGCACCGGTTCAGGACCTCGACAGCCTCCTTAGTAGCAGGTGGAAAGGAGTGACAGAGTTGGACATCATCTGCGTACAGATGACACCGCACCCCGAAACTCCGGATGATCTCACCCAGCGGCTTCATGTAGATATTAAACAGCATGGGGGACAGTATAGAACCCTGTGGAACCCCACAGGTCAAAGGCTGTGGTGTTGAACAAGAGTCCCCCAATAACACCTTCTGGGTACGACCCTCCAGAAATGACTGGAGCCACTGCAGAGCAGTGCCCCCAAGACCCATTTCCCCAAGGCGCCCCAGAAGGATACCGTGGTCGACGGTATCGAAGGCCGCTGAGAGGTCCAGGAGCACCAACAGGGACACACTCCCCCTGTCTAGCTCCCGGCGCAGATCATCCACTAAGGCGACCAAGACCGTCTCGTTCCATGTCCCGGTCTGAAACCAGACTGTGCCGATCCAGATAATCCGTGTCTCTCAAGAATACCTGGAGTTGTGAGGCCACCACGCTTTCCATGACTTTGCCCAAAAAGGGGAGATTGGAAACAGGCTGAAAGTTGTCAAATTTAGTGGGGTCCAGTGATGGTTTCTTCAACAGCGGTTTTATAATTGCTTGTTTTAAGCACGCTGGAATCTTGCCTTCCCGAAGGGAGGCATTAACCACCACCGTTACCCACTCAGCCAATCCCCCTCTGGCCTCCTTCAGAAGCCAGGATGGGCAGGGGTCTAGGATGGACGTGGTAGGCCTCATTCCTCCAAGTATCTTGTCCACATCCTCGGGCTTCACAAACTGAAAAGAATCCATCAAAATAGGACAAGCAGGTGCTCGTGTCACATCCACAGAGACTGCATTTAACATGGTGTCCAGCCAGAACGGATCAAAGCGACTTTGTCTGCAAAGAACCGAGCAAATGCTTCGCAGCGCGTGGCCGAATTGTCAGGGCTCCCGCCTGAGGTGGCGGGAGTTAAAAGACCTCTGACAATCCGGAACAACTCCGCCGGACGGTTCCTTGCAGACGCAATAGTGGCCGCAAAGAAAGTTTTCTCTGCGGCTTTTATTGCCGCGGCATATGCCCTTAAAAAGGACACAAACCGTGCTCGATTTGACTCGCTTGGGTCCGAACGCCACACGCTCTCTAGTTCCCTCTTCCTTCGCTTCATCACTGCCAGCTCCTCAGTAAACCAAGGAGCTGGTTTAGCTCGGCTACTTGAGAGGGGACGTTCCGGAGCGATCACGTCAATTGCCCTGGCCATCTCCCCATTCCAGAGAGCGACCAAGGCCTCGATGTGGTCACCTACCGAGGAGGCGGGAAAATCCCCAAGAGCCGTCAGGAATCCATTCGGATCCATAAGCCTCCTGGGGCGGACCATCTTAATGGGTCCTCCACCTTTGCGGAGGTTAGGGGGTGCAGTGAGCCTAAATCTGATCAGGAAGTGGTCAGTCCATGGCAACGGAGAGATAGACAACTCCTCCACACCGCCACCCTGCTCCCATCCCTGACAGAAAACCAAGTCCAATGTGTGTCCAGCACAATGGGTGGGGCCAGATATTTGTTGGGACAGCCCCATGGTTGCCATGGAGACATGAAGTCCTGAGCCGCTCCTGTGAGGGTCGCCTCGGCATGGATATTGAAGTCTCCCAGCACAAGAAGCCGTTGAGACTCCAACGGCAGGCTCGAGACTACCCCCGCTAGCTCAGGTAGGGAGACTGTAGTGCAGCGAGGTGGACGGTACACTAACAGAATCCCTATTCTGTCCCGGTCACCCACCCTCAGGTGGACACATTCATAATTGGTTGACTGCGGGATGGGGCTCCTGGTCAGAGGGATGGTATTTCTATAGACCACCGCAACCCCGCCTCCCCGCCCTCCGGATCTTGGTTGGTGCTGCACGGAGAACCCTGGAGGACAAAGCTGAGTTAAGATTCACACCTCCAGCTTCATCCAGCCAGGTCTCCGTAATGCACGCCAGATCTGCCCGCTCATCCAGGATTAGATCCTGGATAAAGGTCGTTTTTCCGTTGACAGATCTGGCGTTCAGCAGCACCACCTTCAATCCAGAGGGCCCGCTCACCTGGTTACACCAATTTACCTTAGGAGACCGATTTGGGATTATTAATGTTGATAAGTGGTCCGAATTAGGCCGAATTTGAGGTCTCCTTTTTCCGCATCTCCTCCTCCCCACCACGACCTCTATGGGGACCCCTCGGCTAGTGGAACACCTCCCCTCCTCCATGCCGCAGTCCAAAACCCAGGTCTTAATTTCTGTTTCACTAGACGTTTGATTTGTTGGCCCTTGCCAACTCCCTTGCTTCCCCTTCTCCCCTCTCCTTAACATAAGGAATGCTGCAAACATTTCCTTAACTTGAAAGAACCATTGTCACCGTTCTTATCAGAGTTTACTTTTCAGTTAGCAACTTTTAATTACAGTCCAGCAAGCAGGTAATTAGTCATTGCAGGCCTTGATATTATACTGGTGTCTCCAAAATTATTAGCTCCATATATCCTTCTATTCTTCCAATCATTCCCACACATCATATTAAATTCACATTGAATTTCTTTTTACAACCCTCCCTCTTTGCTCTTCTTTGCCAGTCTTCCATCCGGTGGAGTGCTCTTACTGCCGGTGCGAGAGCATGATGGGCTTCCGGTACCGGTGCCAGCAGTGCCACAACTACCAGCTCTGCCAGAACTGCTTTTGGCGCGGCCACGCCAACGGACCCCACAGCAACCAGCACCAGATGAAGGAGCACTCCTCTTGGGTAAGCCCGTCTCTTTTGCTTGCTTCCCTTGAGGAGGAGCTGGTGCCAAAGCAGAAGAGGAGAGGGAGATTCTCATGACTCAAGAACAGGTATGGGCAAACTTTGGCCCTCCTTCCAGGTATTTTGGTCTTCGACTCCCACCATTCCTAACAGCCTCAAGCCCCTTCCTTTCTTTCCTTTCCTTTCCGCTTAAGCTGCTGAGGGAGAAAAGGAAGGGGCCTGAGTTTGTTAGGAATGGTGGGAGTTGAAGTCCAAAACACCTGGAGGGAGGGCCAAAGCTTGCCCATGCCTGCTTTAGCTATAAGACCAGAAGCTCACAACTGCTTAAAAAAACAACAAAACATTATTTATATAAAGTCCCCCGAGGGGACTCATATATAAATAAAAATGTTCATTTGTGGGATTAACATAACTCGGAAACCACTGGACGAATTGACACCAAATTTGGACACCAGACACGTAACAGCCCAATGTATGTCCTTCACTAAAAAAATTGATTTTGTCATTTGGGAGTTTTAGTTGCTGGGATTTATAGTTCACCTACAATCAAAAGCATTCTGAACCCCACCAACGATGGAATTGAACCAAACCTGGCACACAGTTCTCCCCTGACCAACAGAAAATACTGGAAGGGTTTGGTGGGCAGTGTCCTTAAGTTTGGGAGTTGTAGTTCACCTACATCCAAAGAGCACTGTGGACTCAAACAATGGTGGATCTGGACCAAACTCTACATGAATACTCAATATGCCCAAATGTTAACACTGGTGGAGTTTGGGGAAGATAGAATCTTGACAATCTTGACATTCGGGAGTTGAAGTTGCTGGGATTTATAGTTCACCTACAATCACAGAGCATTCTGAGCCCCACCAACGATAGAATTGGGCCAAACCTCCCACACAGAACCCCCATGTGGGCTACAGCAACGCGTGGCAGGGGACGGCTAGTTTTAAATATATGTGCTATTGTGATTTTTATGGCTCAAGAGGAGTACATGTGAAAAAGATCTTGGAGTCCTCGTGGACAGGAAGTTAAACATGAGCCAGGAATGTGATGTGGTGGCAAAGAAAGCCAATGGGATTTTGGCCTGCATCAGTAGGAGCCTAGTGTCTAGATCTAGGGAAGTCCTGCTCCCCATGCTCTATTCTGCTCTGGTTAGACCACACATGGAATATTGTGTCCAATTCTGAGCACCACAACTGAAGGGAGATATTGACAAGCCGGAATGTGTCCAGAGGAGGGCCACTTAAATGATCCAGGGTCTGGAGAACAAGCCCTATGAGGAGCGGCTTAAGGAGCTGGGCATGTTTAGCCTGAAGAAGAGAAGGATGAGAGGAGACATGATGAGGGCCATGTATCAATATGTGAGGGGAAGCCACAGGGAGGAGGAGGGAGCAAGCTTGTTTTCTGCTTCCTTGGAGACTAGGATGCAATGGAACAATGGCTTCAAACTACAAGAGAGGAGATTCCATCTGAACATGAGGAAGAACTTCCTGACTGTGAGAGCCGTTCAGCAGTGGAACTCTCTGCCCCGGAGTGTGGTGGAGGCTCCTTCTTTGGAAGCTTTTAAGCAGAGGCTGGATGGCCATCTGTCAGGGGTGCTTTGAATGCAATATTCCTGCTTCTTGGCAGGATGGGGTTGGACTGGATGGCCCACCAGGTCTCTTCCAACTCTTTGATTCTAGGATTCTAGGGGAGTGTGACCCCATCCAGCACAGGTTGTAACCCTATACCTTGTTCGGCCTTGCGACTGACCAGGAGGACCTCTGTCTTGCCTGGATTCAACTTCAGTTTGCTCGCCCTCATCCAGACCGCTACAGTGGCCAGGCACCAGTTCAGGACTTGGACAGCCTCCTTTGCATCTGGTGGAAATGAGTGATAGAGTTGGACGTCATCTGCGTACAGATAGCATCAGACTCCAAACTTCTGGATGATCTCACCCAGCAGCCTCATGTAGATGTTAAACAACATGGGATTTCTGCAGCCATTCATCACCAAAGTCCTTTTGAAACAAAAATAACAGCAACAACAACAACATTTTATTATGGTCCAAAGACCCTTGTTGCACCATAGGCATACAAAGTATGCAGGTAATGGGATTAAGCAACAAAAATGGGTGAAACGCCAGGAGAGAATGCCTCTAGACCATGGCCATACAGCCCGAAAAAACCTACAACAACCCAACAAAAATAGGCCTTGAATTTCCCTGCCCAAAGGAAACCAGGCCGGTTCCCCCTCCGGCTCTTCCTCTTCCTCCAGCAGGGGGCAGGAGTGGTCCAAATCCAGGTTGTAGCATCTTGTTTTTCCACCTCTGGGTGGGATTTGGGATCTCAGAACAGGTAAAGCACTCCTTTTTCTCCACCTCACTCTGCTTTCAGCCTCTTTCCCCTGCAGCATTTTTGCTAATGGAGGGTTGGGTGCAAGACTCGTAACCCTTGCATGGACCAGAAATAAAGAGAAGTGTTTAGTCATCCTTAATATTAATAATTCTTATAGTGACCTCTTCTCCAAAATGATAATATTTGCTGATTTGTTTTTTTCCCTTTTCCTTGACAAATAATATATAATATTATAATGTAATACAATATAATACTAATAATAATAATATGGTATCATAATTATATATTTATATTACATGTAATATTACTAATAATATTACAATATACTTTACTTACTTACTTAGGCAATCCCTTGTTGGACAAGTAAGATAGTCTTCCTTGATGACTATTTTTGTGGGTTTGTAGGTGGCTGTGGAGCCCTATTCTTGACCCGCATCTTCTCCCACAGTGAAGGCATTGGTTTTCAGGTGGAAGGCGGTCCCGGTCGGGGTTGGCTTGAGGTGCCTTCCTCCTGGCACGTTTCTCTCTTTCGCCCTCCACTCGTGCCTCCTCGAATTCTGCAGCACTGCTGGTCACAGCTGACCTCCAGCTGGAGCACTCAAGGACCAGGGCTTCCCAGTTCTCAGTGTCTATGCCAGAGATTTTAAGGTTGGCATTGAGCCCATCTTTCAATCTCTTTTCCTGCCCACCAACATTCCGTTTTCTGTTCTTAAGTTCAAAGTAGAGCAACTGCTTTGGGAGACGGTGGTCAGGCAATGTATTATAATAATAGTAATGTATTGTCGAAGGCTTTCATGGCCGGAATCACTGGGTTGTTGTAGGTTTTTTTGGGCTATATGGCCATGTTCTAGAGGCATTCTCTCCTGACGTTTCGCCTGCATCTATGGCAAGCATCCTCAGAGGTAGTGAGGTCTGTTGGAACTAGGAAAGTGGGTTTATATATCTGTGGAATGACCAGGGTGGGACAAAGGACTCTTGTCTGCTGGAGCTAGGTGTGAATGTTTCAACTGACCACCTTGATTAGCATTTGATGGCTTGGCAGTACCTGGAGCAAACTTTTGTTGAGAGGTGATTAGATGCTCATCAAGGTGGTCAGTTGAAACATTCACACCTAGCTCCAGCAGACAAGAGTCCTTTGTCCCACCCTGGTCATGCCACAGATATATAAACCCTTTTTCCTAGTTCCAACAGACCTCACTATTCATTTATTTATTTATTTATTTATTTCGGGTACTTTTACCCCGCCCTTCTCAACCCCCGAGGGGGGACTCAGGGCGGCTTACAAAGAAGGCACAATTTGATGCCTATACACAATTACTCATAATATACAAAACCATAGCTAAAACAATCATCACAGCTAAAACCATCAAAACATAACATGTCATATAAAAACGATAAGAAACTGTTCTTATGCTCAGCGCTTCCTCTTTCAGAGTCCATAGTTCTATTCCATTAGTCATTTCCTAATCATTGTCAAGTCCTTTCTTTGTCTGCCCGACTATCCAAATGCCTGGTCCCAAATCCATGTCTTCAGTTTTTTCCTAAATGAAAGGAGTGATGTTGCAGATCTAATTTCCCCTGGGAGTGAGTTCCACAGGTGAGGGGCCACCACTGAGAAAGCCCTGTTCCTCGTCCCCACCAGCCTCACTTGTGACAGTGGTGGGGTCGAGAGCAGTGCCTCCCCAGAAGATCTTAGACTCCGGGGTGGGACGTAGAGGGAGATCCGTTCGGACAGATACACTGGGCCGGAACCGTGTAGAGTTTTGTAGGTCAAAACCAGCACTTTGAATTGTGCTCGGAACTGGATCGGCATCCGGAACTGGATCGGCAACCTCTGAGGATGCTTGCCATAGATGCAGGCGAAACGTCAGGAGAGAATGCCTCTAGAACATGTCCATATAGCCCGAAAAAAACCTACAACAACCCAATATAGTAATATTTAATACTGATATTGTACTATGCTAATAATATATATTGTATGTATATATATCTTGTAAGCCGCTCTGAGTTCCCTTCGGTGTGAGAAGGGCAGCATATCAGTGTTGTAAAAAATTATATATATATTCTCAAGGAATTTGCCCCATATTGCGTTAAAATATTTTATTTTCATTTATCCCCTCCTTTTTTTTGCATTTTGTTTCACAAGTCAGTTTAGCCTCATATCTATCAAGTTTGGTGGAAGACAGTTTACATGCGTCACCATTGTTGTTGTTGTCATCATCATCTTTTGCTAACAATAACAGATTAAAAACCTGGAAATACTTTGTATTGTTAAAGGCTTTCATGGCCGGAATCACTGGGTTGTTGTAGGTTTTTCAGGCTATATGGCCATGGTCTAGAGGCATTCTCTCCTGACGTTTCGCCTGCACCTATGGCAAGCATCCTCAGACGTCACAAAACTCATAAGACTTGTTTAGATAGCATCGCCAGCATGCCTGGGGCTTGGCAAAGCAAAACAAGACAAAACAGCCAGCCCTGTCAAAGGCTTACAATTTGGTGTGTGTGTGTTTGTGCCTTCAAGACTCATCTTTTTGAAGGTTTCTTGGGAAATGTCATAATACCCAACAATACAACCTCCTTTCCTACATATATCTGTGTAATACCACTTACAGTATCTGATAGTCAGCTTTCTCATCTTTCGAGGTCATTTTGAATCCTGATCCT